CATTTACTTCTGCCTCAAGAAGAGGTTACTGAACTCCATAAGGATTCTTCTCAAGAATGAACTACCAAAGAATAACCTTATTTCATGCACAACACAGCTCTGAGAACAGATTCCACCTCATTGCTTTAATATTTGCTTCACACAGGGCCAAGCATGGTGCTTTGCACATAGTAGGCCCTCAACAAACATTTACCGGACAAAGAAACAAAGCTATAAATACTTGGGAGACGTGCATGCTCTCTGGATAAAAGTCTGGTTTTTTGAGGACAGAAGTGAAGACAGGTAGAAGAGAGTCTGCTAAACTGTAAAGATAAAAAGGATTGGCTTTTATAAACACACTGACACTGGGAGAGCTTATTCCTTCATTCATTCACCCAACAAATATTTATTGAACACCTAGGTACCAGGGATTGTACCAGGTACTGGAGACCCATAGTAAGAGGGATGGATAAACTCCCCCACCTTCATGGAAATTATATTGAGGCAAAGTAATTAAAAGCATAGGCTTTGGAGTCCAGCTTTTGATCCCAGCTCAATCAGTACTAGAGAAGGTAGGAGTGTAGTTCACTGCTTAGCTTTCTCACCTTGAAAAGAGAGAGAATAGGCCGGGAGCGGTGGCTCACGCCTGTAATCCCAGCACTTTGGGAAGCTGAGGTGGGCGAATCACGAGGTCAGGAGATCGAGACCAGCCTGGCCAACATGGTGAAACCTCGTCTCTACTAAAAATATGAAAGTAGCCGGGCATGGTGGCATGAGCCTGTAATCCCAGCTACTCAGGAGGCTGCGGCAGGAGAATCGCTTGAATCTGGGAGGCGACAGTTGCGGTGAGCTGAGATCACGCCATTGCACTCCAGCCTGGGCAACATGAATGAAACTCCGTCTTAAAAATAAATTAAAAAAAAAGAAAAAAGAAAAATTAGCTGGGCGTGGTGGCAAATGCCTGTAATACCAGCTACTCAGGAGGCTGAGGCAGGAGAATCGCTTGAACTTGGGAGGGAGAGGTTGCAGTGAGCTGAGACTGCACCACTGAACTCTAGTCTGACAACAGAGCAAGACTCCGTCTCAAAAAAAAAAAAAAAAAAAAAAAAAAAAGCAAAAATATTAAAAAAAAAAAAGGAAAAACTATAAAAGAACAAAAAAAAATTTAATGGAGAGAACAGCACCTATATTATGGTATTTATGAGGATTAAGCACGAATCCATGTAAAACAATCAGCATAATACCTTGCACGTAGTAGATTTTTAATAAATTATGTACTCTGAGCACAGCTATGCCCAGGTTAGTCCTATCATGTTCCTGTTTGTTTCTTTCAGAGCCCTTATTTCAGCTGGCAATTACCTTACCCGCTTGTAGGACTCCTGCACTCCTCCCAAGTGTTCAATGTTAACCAGGTGGCAAAGTTAACTAGACAGAAGAAATCCACATAATTACTCTAGATGAAGCCCCCTAACTGCAGATTAGATGAAAAGAGATGAAGGGTGCTGCACTAATAACAACCATTTTCAACCAAGGCAGGATTCTGGGCCTAGAATCTTCAGTGACAAATCACCAGGAGGGGAGGAGGAAAATGAAGAGCTGGAGGCCTAGAGAGATGATGTGAGGAGAGGAGACTCTGCCTTTCCACTTCATAATAATTAATGTTCTCCTGCTGCTCTGAGTCTGTGCATGTAAGTGGATTCGTGACCTCGCAGCTGATGAAAACCATAGCACAAGAAGAATAAAAATGTGCTGCCTTGTTTCTTACCTGCTAATTAGCCACCTGAGCCCAGGGGGGTTTATAAGAGGCCTCAAGCCCAATTATTGATTTTGTTCCCAGAGGCAGGGAAGGCTTGAGTCAAATCACCCTGATTCTCAGGGGAAAGGCAGCACTGAGCATCCAGGGTACCCTCTAATGGCCTAGGCCTACTCTTGTCCAGCAATATACCACCAAGATGTTGAACTTTAAAGGCCTACGTCTGACCAGGAGGGACCTGCTGTCTAGAGTTGCCATTCTGATTCCTGGAGCTCATATACAGACACATCAGCAGCCATGGGGCAGGAAACAGATGTACTAATGCAGTCAACACCAATACCTACTCATACCTGCAGCCAAAAGCATGATGCCCCAGGCTCTGCCTCCAATTCTACCATCCTCTTCCATCTTTCTCTCTTATCAGGTCTCTGCCCTCCTGTGCCCTCCTGTACTTTGTACTTAGATTCTCCTTTGCCAAGCCCATTCAGACTGTGACTGGTAGGAGTGTTGTGCTCAGCTTTCCACTTGAGTGTTTATCCAAGAAGTTGTCCCCTCTCAGGTTATGGCCTCCATTCCAGTGCACCACAGCCTACGGGGATGTATCCCACTCATGCATCCCCTTGGGCCTAGAGCGGGCCTCAGTGCCCTGGTCTCTCACTTGTCTGAGATCAGATTCTATGTACCAAGTGCAAAGAGCCATGGTGAGCTCTTGCTTACGTGGTTTATGGCTAGAATTAAACAAGCAAATGAGGAAATAATGCAAGTTGGCATCTAGTACCGGCTCATACTGTGCCAGGCACTATTCTAAGCCCTTTCCAAGTATGAACTCATTCATTCTGCCCAACCTCCCTGTGAGGTAGGTCCATTATTAACCCACTTTACAAAAGAAAAACTGGGACTTAAGGAGGCCGAGAACTCAGCATTACAGGAAAAATAAAAATAAAATTTAAATTAAAAATAAATTAGAAGCCGGGCACGGTGGCACACGCCTGTAATCCCGGGAGGGATGTACTCAGGAGGCTGAGGCAGGAGAATTGCTTGAACCCAGGAGGAAGAGGTTGCAGTGAGCCAAGATCACATCACTGCACTCCAGTGTGGGCAACAAGAGTGAGACTCTCTCTCAAGAAAGAAAAAAATAAAAAATAAAAAAAAATAAAGAGGCCAGGGACATTGCCCAAGGTCACAAGCCAGAACATGGCATAGCCATGATTCAAACCCACACTGTCATATTCCATTTCTCAACTCTGATCATGCTCCTATAATGCAGAAAAATACGAATATACATTCAGCCCCTGCCCACAAGAGGCCCACAACCCAGCAACAGAAGCAAGCACAGACATTGAGTTTTAGCCAAAAAACTTGGTTTTTCAATTCACAGCAGGTCATGGCTTTTTTCTTTTTTATGATTCTCTTCGTACAACAGATATATGTACAACATCTGCTGATGAATGAAATAACACTGACCAAAACCAGAAGTACAGGACAATTACATAATCTCTTAAAACAGGAAGTGACTCAGTAAGAAAATATTTTCTCATTCTTATATGGGTACTAATGGCTAAAAAGGAGAAGACACTTATCTTTCTCACATCTAACCAAAAACAGGACATGACCAAGCAGGATCATATCTGAAATCCTGGAAAATTTAGTCTTATATTTGACCTTCTCTTAACCTCTCTTCCTATAAAACTCCCCATGGTAACATTTTAAGTGAGCCTAAAAGATAGTTCTGACTCATTTTAAGAGACTGTTGAGAAGCTCTAAAACTGGAAATATAATGATCGATCCTCTTAAGGAAGAGCTAAATAATTAAACAGAAAGTCATTCCACTTATCTATGCTCTTCTCATTCTCTTTTGATGCAGCACCAGTGATTCAGTTTGAGTCAGACATCCAACAACAACTGAGCAAAAGCAATGGTGACTCACAGATAGAAGAGGCTGTGAGGCCAACAACCAAAGCAAAGGACAGCAGAACTGACACATTGCTCAGAAAATATCCAAAGCTCTGTAAGTGAGCTCACATTTATCATGTCTTTAATGTTCCCAGGAAAGTTTTTGTCATCTATCTAGGTGAAATGATGGGGCATGTGATAGTATCTGAAGCCAGAATGCCTTCCGTTAATATTAATGTCCCTCTGGGTTCCAGGACTCCTCCCTGCTATAGCATCCAAATGAAAAGGCAAGACTGAAGCTCACCAACTACTGTAAATGATGTCTTTGTGTCAGAGACACTGTTACGTGTTCCCCAAATCCATTTCATTTTCCTCCTGACACGCAGCTAGACTAATTTCTCCATGTCTACTACAGTTAGATGGAGCCACATGACTGAGTTCTGACCAATCTAATGAGGTGAAAATGATGCATATTATCATTTTTAGGCCTGGTCCCTAAAATCTCTTATAAGATCTTCCACACATTCTCTCTTCCCTTATCTGCTAGCCAGATACAAAGGACTCTGCAGAAAACCAAAGACCTCAGAAGATGATGGAGCCATTGAATGGCCACATGAACAAAGCCCCCCCCCAGCCCGATCCACACTAGCCTGTGACATGAATGAGAAACAAGTCTCTGTTATGTTGAACCACATATTCATTTTTTCTTTTTTTGAGACAGGGTCTTGCTCTATCACTCATGCTGGAGTGCTGTGGCACAATCCTGGCTCACTGCAGCCTTGACCTCCTTAGGTTCAAGTGATCCTCCTGCTTCAGCCTCCTGTGTAGCTGGGACTACAAGTGTGCACCACCACACCAGCTAACGTTTTTTTTTTTTTAAGACAGAATCTCACTCTGTCACCCACGATGGAGTGCAGTGGTGCAATCTCGGCTCACTGCAACCTCTGCTTCCCAGGTTCAAACAATTCTTCTGTCTCAGCCTCCCAAGTAGCTGGGACTACAGGCATGCGCCACCATGCTCAGCTAATTTTTGTATTTTTAGTAGAGACGGGGTTTCACCATTTTGGCCAGGCTGGTCTTGAACTCCTGACCTCATGATCCACCCACGTCCACCTCCCAAAGTGCTGGGATTACAAGTGTGAGCCACCGTGCCTGGTCCACACTAGCTAATTTTTAACTGGGCTCAAGCGATCCTCCCATCTCAGCCTCACAAAATGCTGGAATTCCAGGCATGAGCAACCACACCCAGCCTGAAGCACAGATTATTGAACTGGTTTGTCATGGCAACTGGTGCTGATCACTCTAATGAATACAGCTTGCCTGTGCCATGATCTCAATCTGAGGGCACCGGTTCATCTGCAGCTTCCACACCTACCTGTCTCATTGCCAATGCAATCGATTATCAGGCAGATTCCTAGGGGCTTGCTCTTCATCTTGTATCTCTCTTCAGGTATGCTCTGGAAAGGAAGGCAAGAATTGCTAAAGACTCTGGATATTGCTCTGTTTCTATGAGGTTCCACTCATATACCATCTCTTCTTTTGGATTTCCTTTGACAGGTGAATCACTCAACAGACACAGCCTGAAGTTTCCCATTATGGCAAATGTTTCCCATTAATATCAAATTTTTCCTCTATTAGGGTAATGTGCTCAAGACAAATTATTTTATTTTTATTTAATTTTAATGAAAATCCCATTCTCTTTATTGGCGTTGTGGAATAAAGATAATTTGAAAAACAGAGAAAACATGAGTCATTTGTCTCCACAGTAACCTGAAGTTATATAAGTGGTATCTTCCCAAGTACAAAGGGAGCCCTTCTATTGCTTCTGCTTACAAAGAAGTGTCAACCTAATAAAAAGCCAGAACAAGTAAAAGTTCAGGGAAGTATCACTGCTGACTTACATGTTCAGCAGTCACTGAGTCGAGACAAGGGGTGCTACTTTGGAACTTCCCTGCATTCCAAAGTTCACTAATGCAATCCTCCCTTTAACAACTTTCTCTTTGTTATTCAGAGTTCCCTTGTATGGAAGTTCTCAGGAGAACAACACTCTCAGCCTCCCATTGTCTCAAAGAATTCTTAATGGACAGATATTTTTAAAGAAGTCAGGGTTCTCCACAGCTATGTACATATAATACCAAATCAGACCATTTATTCTGTACCTGAGGCAAAAAAGCTTCTGATTCCTGAATGGATGTCTTCACTGGTTCTTCTGGGGGATGAGAGAGAGAGATCATTTACAAAGCTGAAGGAGAGCTAAGTCCACCCCCACACTGGCTTAGTTTCTTTGTATCACAACTGTTCTCCCTTCCTATTTTCTTCAATTATCTCTTCTTTCCCCAGCTATACTTGGCCGTGAGGTTCCAACCTCACACTGAAGAAAGTGACATAAGAAAACACAAGTCCCCGTGTCTCTACTAAAAAATACAAAAAACTAGCCGGGCGAGGTGGCGGGCACCTGTAGTCCCAGCTACTCGGGAGGCTGAGGCAGGAGAATGGCGTAAACCCAGGAGGCGGAGCTTGCAGTGAGCTGAGATCCGGCCACTGCACTCCAGCCCGGGCGGGCGACAGAGCCAGATTCCGTCTCAAAAAAAAAAAAAAAAAGAAAAGAAAACACAAGTCCCAGTGCTACCAGCGGCTATCTGGAAAAGTTGCTTAAACAGCAAGTGAAGAAGGCTCTCCCCTACCTCACTCTAGGTGAGGAACAGGTGGCTGGTGAGTTTTTAACTTGATAGGAGAATCTAATAACCTCACCACCCAACAATACTGATAGCTTTCCTATATGTGCTGAAACTGTTGACAATACCTAAAGGGAACAGCCTTAGAGAGTGCAGAGCAGGGAAAGCTTATATGTGTTTGCGAGCTATAAAACAGATGGCACTGTTTTCATAGTCCAGTGATACTGGGAGATCATAAAATAAAATGTCAATGGCAAGACAGTGACAACGGGGGCAGTGAGCCTGGCAAATGCAGATGAGCCTAAAGCTAATTTGCTAGAAAAAAATGACTTGATTAGGTCAGGGAGGTGAATGAACGACCAGTTTTGAGCCAAAATTGTGCCACTGCACTCCAACCTGGGCAACAGAGCGAGACTCTGTCTCCAAAAAAATAATAATAAATTTAAAAAAAAGATACACAGGATATATTAAATGAACAATGGATTATTAAATAATATGTATAATATTGATTCTGTGTACTTAAAAATATCTATTTGTGTACATATACTTACACATGTATTAATATATGCTTAAATATAAAAGAATCTAGAGGTATAAAAATCAAACATTAATAGCAGCTATCTCTGCTACTTGAAAGAGGAAATTTCACTTTATATTTTTTGTATTTTAGCAATTATATATTAACAGAACAAACAAACAAAGAAAACCTGCAAAATAATCTATGTGATATATCTATCTCAGTTTAAGGCATTTAGCAAGAACTTACTAAATTGAAGTTATCACCATCCTCATCAAATTCAATGATGGCTGAATAGTTGAAATTTATTTGGAAGTCCAAATTAATATAAATATTTGGTTTGATTATTATTATTTATTTGGATGGAATCTCGCTCTGTCATCCAGGCTGGAGTGCAATGGCACGATCTCGGCTCACTGCAATCTCTGCCTCCCGGGTTGAAGCGATTCTCCTGCCTTAGCCTCCTGAGTAGCTGGGATTACAGGTGCGTGCCACCACACCTGGTTAATTTTGATATTTTCAGTAGAGACGGGGTTTCACCATGTTGGTCAGACTGGTCTCGAACTCCTGACCTCGTGATCCACCCACCTTGGCCTCCCAAAGTGTTGGGATTACAGGTGTTAGCCACCATGCCTGGCTGACCATTTTAAACCTCTATTAAATTAAGTCCAAGTTATTAGAAAGCTTTTAGCGGGGGGACAGAGTCTTGCTCTGTCGCCCAGGCTAGAGTGCAGTGGCAAGATCTCGGCTCACTGCAACCTGCACCTCCCAGGTTCAATCAATTCTCCTGCCTCAGCCTCCCGAGTATCTGGGACTACAGACGTGCACCACCACGCCCAGATAATTTTTGTATTTTTAGTAGAGACGGGGTTTCACCATGTTGCCCAGGTTGGTCTCGAACTGCTGACCTCAGGTGATCCACCCACCTCGACCTCTCAAAGTGTTGGGATTACAGGCATAAGCTACCATGTCCAGCCCAGAAACCTTTTTCTTTATTAGCAAATAAACCAAGTCCAAGCAAGAACAAGTAAGCAGCTCTCCTAATAGGATCACAGGGATATTGGGATTAATTCCTATGCAAATCTACTAGGTCTCCTATTTTCCCTTTAAACAGCCTTCAGAATACTAATTCTCACCACCTCACCAGTGTTTTAAGAAACATGCTGTTATTTCAGGAATTAATTCGCTTCTCAGTAGTTTTTGCTGAAAAGCACAGTATCAGGTAGAGAATGACAGGCATGAGCTACACCATTTGACTAATCCAGGCCAAAATAAGTTTTCAGGTACACACAGCACAAAGACTGAGTCATAAGGTATCTGTAAGGGGACTGCCACACAAAGAGGGCTTCTATTAGGCCACTGCCCCACTCAAAACATTCATGATGTCCCACCACACACAGGACAGATTCCAAGCCCCTTGGATAAGACTGAAGCCCTCCATCGCAGCCCATCAATCCCTGCTTCCTGGAGTTCGGAACCACAACCATGTGCTTCATCAGTGTAAGACAGAGTCTCAGCTCTCACTTCAAGGAGGACTCAAGCAAAAGAAGTAAACTTTTGCTGGGTACAGTGGCTCACGCCTGTAATCCCAGCATTTTGGGAGGCCAAGGCAGGTGGATTACTTGAGGTCAGCAGTTTGAGACCAGCCTGACCAACATGGTGAAATGTTGTCTCTGCTAAAAATACAAAAATTAGGCTGGGTGCCGTGGCTCATCCTTGTAATCCCTTTGGGAGGCCAAGGCGGGTGTATCACCTGAGGTCAGAAGTTTGAGACCAGCCTGGGCAACAGAGTGAAACCCTATCTCTACAAAAAACACAAAAATAATCTGGGTGTGGTGGCGCAAGCCTGTAATCCCAGCTACTCGGAGGCTGAGGCATAAGAATCACCTGAACCCAGGAGGCGGAGG